TAAACTTCTTGAAATCTACACCTTGAGGCCTGAACTACCGTGGTGTCCCTTTTTTAATAAGCATTTTGCTGGCACTCGTGTAATCACCTTGATCATTCTGAAGAGCAGAAGCTGGTGGTTTTATAAATTCCATTCAGCTACAGTAACTCCTCGCTTAACGTTGTAGTTATGTTCCTGAAAAGTGCGACTTTAAGTGGAACCATGTTAAGTGAATCCAATTTCCCCATAAGAATTAATGTAAATGAGGGGGTTAGGTTCCAGGGAAATTCTTTTCACCAGACAAAAAACTATATATTATATAGATATACACACAGTATACATTTTAAACAAACAATTTAATACTGTTCACGGCTATGATGATTGTGAAGGTTGGTTGAGGTGGTGAAGTTAGAGGGTGGAAGAGGGTGGGATATTTCCCAGGGAATGCCTTACTGCTAAATGATGAACTAGCACTTGGCTGAGCCCTCAAGGGTTATCACGTTGTTAATGTAGCCTCTCACACAAGGTAGCACGAACACGGGGGAGGGGAGAAGCATAGCAGACAGGGACAGACACACACCTTGTGTGTGTGTGGGAGAGAGAGAGAGAGAGATGCACACTGCCCCTTTAAGTAAGCTGACCCATTCTTAAGTGCATTGTCTTTTTAAGTGGATCAGGAAGTTGAGACAGCAGCTGTGCCCCAAGCTCTCTGTCTCTCTCTGTCCGTGTCCCCTCCCTGCTGTATATGGAGAAGGGGTAAGTGAGGTGCAGGAGTGGGGGGAGGGGGACACCCTGACAGCCCCCCCTTCAACCACTGCACAGCAAGCAGGAGTCTCTGGGAGCAGCTCCAAGGCAGAGGGCAGGAGCAGCACATGGTAGTGGGGGGGAGGGACAGCTGAACTGCCGATTGATAGCCTGAAATTGCTAGCCTGCTGAGCAGCTGCAGCACATGGAACTTAGGGGAGTGGGGAGCTGAGAGGGGGAAGCTGATAGGGGGCTGCCGGTCCACCCTGGTTACAAGCCCCCACCAGCTAGCTGCAACGGGCTGCTCTTCCTGCAAGCAGTGGACAAAGCAGGCTGCTGCCAAACGACGTTAGAAGGGAGCATTGCACAACTTTAAACGAGCATGTTCCCTAATTGATCAGCAACATAACAATGAAATAACGTTAATCAGGATGACTTTAAGTGAGGAGTTACTGTACAGCTTCATAGGTGAGCATGATGCTCGACAGGCCAAAGGGAAAAAAAAAAAGTGGGGTGGCACCTACCCAGAGGACGCTACAATTCTAATTAACTATAATAGAGCTAGGGAGTGGAGTATTGGAGGTTAAGGGTGTGACGGGATCCCCGGGGTGCAGCCTGGGACTGCTGTGCCTCCTTAACTCTCCAGCCTGGGCTCTCTCTCACAATGCTTTGCTAGTGACAAGCAGCAAACCCCTCCAGGTGCTGTTACCATTCAGTACAACCACGTGTGGAGCCCCACACCTAGCTGCATTGCATGAATCTCAGAGAAAGGCACCAGCCAAATCCTCCACGCCTTGTACCCTAGGAATATACCGTCTTGCACTGCTCAAGACCCTTTCTTGAGCAATGCAAGTTTATTAATTGGTTCACCACTTCATCAATGGAAAGTGGATATACACCAGCCTTTGAAAACCTGAGCAGATTTACCAAGCACTTCAGGCAAACTCACTGTCAAAGATAAACAGTAAAACAAGTTTATTGTTTACAAAAGATAGATTTTAAGTGGTTACAAAATAAAATACGATATAAGCTTGTAGTCTAAACTCTCAACCCTATTAGACTGGGCAACATCTAGATAAAGCAGTTTCTTTCACCCCGCTGGATATTGCAGTTCATAGTACACAGGTTTCACCCTTGAAACCTGGGCCAGTCTCCTCTGTTGGAGTCTTCAGTCTTCTGAGAGTCCTTGTTGCTTGCAGCATAGGTGGAGGGAGGAAAAAAGGCCAAGCATGAGGCCACTGTGTTCTGTTTTATACCCTTAGTCCATGTGCTTGGAGAACACAAATCCAGGCATGTCTGGTGGCCATTGCTGAGTCAGCACCAGGCAAGGTTAAGCAATTCCCCTGGAGTGGCCTTGTGCAAGTGAGTCATTGCATTGTAGCTCCCTTGCTGGATAATGGCTGTTGATGGTTGTTCAACACCTGTCTGGGTGTTGGTTATCCCCCTGGTTGTTGTCTTTGGGGAGCTAGTATCTGGGCGCTTCCCAAACCCACAACATATATTACTGAGAACCATACAACACAATTTCATAACTTAATATGCATTAATGATGTACATATTTAGATGGAACAGTGGGTTTCAGCAGATCATAACTTTTCCCATGATACCTTACCAGGAATGCTTTATATGCAATATCACAATTTTATATACAAATGATGAATATAGGGGTTACAGGGCGTTCCCCTGGTGGGTAGAGTGTCACAAGGGTTATAAAGATCATTCCCTTTCTAGAAGGTAAACATTTCCAGTTCCTGCACTTAGAATCTACACTCTGTAACATAGTAGTTGAAATTTTGTATATATAATGATGTATGGTGGCATATTTAGAGGCACTCAAGATACATTATCTTCCTCACCCTTGTATTTTTCAATACTTAGGTAAGAAATCCCTGTCAAATTGTAAATTTAGAACTAGGGATTTTTAATATGGAAAATTACAATTGTGTTTGTTTTTGTTGTTGGAACTGTCCAGAGATCTAATTACAGTTCTCTATTCCCTTTTTCTTTGGAAATGTTGTTACTATTCCAGTTGTTTAGTAGCAGTTTATTCTTATTCTTTCCCCTAAAGTATCTAGTGACAAGTCTATTTTAAGCCTTTTAAGTAACCTGAAGGATTGACTGCCTTTAGCAATACTGTCTCCCCTTCCCTCATCCCAAAGTAGGAAGTTATGCAGATTGGATACTTATCAAGTGTTGTTGATGGCCTTACTATGTTTGTTTGACCACTGAGACTTTTTTCGTTACATTTTACCTCAGGTCCCCCCCCCCCCCCCCCCCCCAGCCTCGGGGGGAGGGAACGCGGACAGAGGTAAGGGGGCGAAGGCAGCTGGGGTTCCATGCGCAGACCAGGAGTGGAGCTGGGTGGTGCTCCCTCCCTGCCCCCCATGGGGCTGGCTCAGGCCCCAGCCGTGCTCCCCCGAACATTTCTCTGTGCCCCCTGGGGGGGTGCCCCACAGTTTGGGGACCTCTGCTCTAACCAGTCACACTGTCTTCATATTGAAGGGTGGAGTATTACGTTCCACTAGCTGTCTAATTCCATACTAGTAAAACTGGTTTAGTATTCATAGAATCATAGACTATCAGGGTTGGAAGGGACCTCAGGAAGCCATCTAGTCCAACCCCCTGCTCAAAGCAGGACCAATCCCCAGACAGATTTTTGCCCCAGATCCCTAAATGGCCCCCTCAGTGATTGAACTCACAACCCTGGGTTTAACAGGCCAATGCTCAAACCACTGAATGTCTGGAAAAAAAATTAATAAAACATACTATCAGACTCTCTAAAGTTGCTCACAGGTGTGAGTACCAATCTCAGGACAGATTGAAGAAGCAGTGCACAAATCCCAAACTGACTGAGTTCTATACTTGGATTTCACCAATCAAGTGTGAACTCCTCAAGCGCTATAACAAACTTAACATGGAGTCACAGAGAGTTCTTTTGGGTACTCTGGTCTATTTTGCCATCCAAGCTTTGCCATTCAAGCTTCCCTTTGTGATAGATGGTCTTTTATCCCAAAAATCACAACAATATTCAGGTTACTTATTGTCGCTTACCCCAGGTCAGTTGCGCCTTAGATCCTATACCAAAGACAACGCTTGTAGCCAATCCTATCATAACTTTTTTTCTTAAATTAACTAAAGAGTTATTAACTATTTACAAGGTTAAAGCTGTAAAAATACACACACAAATGAGTTAGTCTTCGTTTCCAAAAGGGTAATAGAAGTTGCTGCAATATGTCCTTTAGGGCTAACTCAGACCAAACAGCTGGAGATCCCTGGCTTGTGCTTAGAAATCTTCTTCCCTCAGAGTTCAAGCACCATAGAGATACAATTCCTTCTTGTCAGGGATTTTTATTCCCTTCATCCAGAGTTCAAGTTGGTGGGACTAGGCCACCTCCAGTCTCCTCTTCATGGGTATGTGGGGGAGCAATCAACAAAGTCTTTGTTCTTTAATGTTTCACAATATCTCATTTGGTTTCAATGGGCCTTCTTCCTGGGCAGAACCCAGCACCTTTTGTATGAAGCCAGCATTCCTAGATTAATTAATGCTCCTTTCCTGTTAGATGACTGACATGATTACAGAGGGTTACAATGCAAACAGTTAATGTAACCTTATCACATGGGGTACCAGATTATACATGCAGCCTCCTACAAGCATTTCATAAAGTCTAAACCCATTCTTATAAAATTAACATCTATTTTAACAGTACTAACACGCTGGAAACCAGTCTGGTTCACCTGTTATGCATTTGTCAGTGTTCAGGGAGGCCTAGGGGCTTTGGCATGAGCTGGCACCTTGTTTGCCAGCATCACACATGCTCTTTAAAATTTTATCAGAATAACTTTCTTATGTGAAGTTGTTGCCCTAGATCTGCTGTTCTTGATACAATTTGAGACTTTTCAACAAATAAGGTGGTTTGGGCTATAGTTCTTTTACTTTCCTAAAAGTAGAATCAGACTTTTTTTTTTCCTGTTTGAATTGCTAGAAGCAAATTTCAAGATGTAAACGATACAGAAAACTCTCTTCTTGAAACACTTTTAATGTAGAAGTATATTAACATGTTACAGTTTTTGTATCAAAGGAATCATTAATTAAAAAGAATAACCTTGTAACTTTTATATATTTATGGTATCATTGATAGATTGTTACATTCTCACATTGTTAAATTGAGTTAGATATGAGCCTTCCTTGAGACAGAAGAGCCAACTCCTGAAGAAAGTCTCATGGATTCTTGTACCGTGAATCTAATGTTCTCCCTTTTTTCCCCCCCTCACTGCAGGAAACACTCCGTTACATCTTGCTGTGATGTTGGGACATAAAGGTTGGTAAAACTACTTTAAGTATCATATATTCTCAGATTTCTCTCAAGATTTTAGGGAAGAGAAATGATTGGAAAAGTTGAAGACTTAAAAAAATAGACTTTAATTGAATGTGTTCAGTTACAAGTGCGGAGGCTTTCAGGAAACAAGAGGATACATGAGAATAGAAAATAAACTTGAGAGATTGGGAGTAAAGATGTCAAAATCAAGGTGGCAGGAGGGAGCTAAGGAATGAATGGGAGCAGGTTGGAGGTCTTTGGAGACAGGAAAATGAGGTATAATAGGTGGACATTCACTGGGCACTCTTCTGAGAGTCTAATAAGAGAATAGGTGGAGAAGGCTTTCCTCTTCTTACAGAGCTATCAGGAAACAGTGAGATCTGGAGGGTCCTAGAGTTAGAAAGATGAGAGAAAAGAGGCATGACCAGAGGTGCTTTTCCATCTTCACCCTGAACGAAGACAGGAAGTAAACCTCCTGGCAGGTGGGAAAAGGTGCTGCCATTTCTTCTCGCATAGCTAAACCCCAACAGGAAGAGGAGGGGCTGTTGAAACAGGTGGGCTGCTTCATGTGAGTTGGCTAAGCAACAGAAGCTAGGGTGTTTTTCCCAGCTGGCTGCTTGTGTACCAGAAAGCAGGAGAGAGGGGAAACTCTCATTAAAAAAACAAAACAAAACTAGGGAAACAAAATCAAGGACCAGCTGAGATTAATGCTTTTGATCATTTTCAGGTAGGTTGGGTGAAATTAACTTTTTAGTTGTTGTTGCTTTAAAATCGCATTATACGTGTATACTAAGTGTTGATACTAACATCTTAAGATGTTAGTATGTGACAGGTAGCTCCAAATTTCTAAGGGAAGCTTTTTATCAAAGTTTTCCCATAAATAGCATACACTATATATTAAGATAATCTCGGTGGGATAAATGGGTGTTCAGCCCACCTGTTTCTAGATAGTTATGTCCTCTACCATTTTTTGAGTAAATATCAATGTAGTTCGGCAATTTTAAATTTAAATCAATTTTTAGAGTCTGATCTAGGTATGTCTTTTAAGAAGATTTTTTTTTTTTTTTTTGGTAGCTGAACACTTTTCAATTAAGCTTCATATAGAAGTCTTATTGGTACAAATAGTATCTGATATTTCCAGATTTCAGCTATATTAAGTAAAGCTGGGTTGCATTCTTAATAATCAATACTCCATGAATGTTGACTCATCCTCACAAGACCCTTGTGTAGGTAGGTAGGTATTGTCACCGTTTTAAAGATTGTGACTTGCCCAAGGCCACATAGCAAATCATAACATGAATTAAACTCAAGAATGCATTGCTTTTAGCCTTGTGCTCTGTCCATTAGATCATGATTTCCAGGATCTCATATACCAGGTGACTGCATAACTTTACTCTTCTTTGGTTGGTGTTTGTATAGCACATCATAATTGCACCTGTTTGTGGTACTTAATAATTTAAGCTCATGGAATGCTAATGGCAGAGAAGCCTCAGAAACATAGGTCTCAGTAAATAATGAAAGCAAAATTAAGGGTAGAAAGTAGAAGGAGGAGGCTGTATGAACTGTGTGACCATGCTATTGAAGTGTGAATGCGTTTAAAAATATTTTTTCAACTTCTGAAAACTAAGGGCAAAATTATAGTTGCTCAAATTTCATTGTTATATATGTGCTAGATGTGTCTAGTAGCTCTTCTCAATACATATACTGCCTGTAAATGACTCCAAAGTGTCTGTTGTAAATAATGAGACATGGCAAATGTAACACATTCAGCCTTTGTCCATTTTAAAGTATATATTGCATGATGGCTATCATAGTTCCAGCCAAAGTGGAACCAGACCCCTTTTAAGAGCATTTCTGCTTCCCTTTTATTTTGGATGGTAGGGGCATTGTAGTAGAACTGGAAAGAATTCCTTGTCAGGATGCTCCCTTTTGGAGCATAAGACCAAGAATATGATTCAAATGACTTTTTAGCATTGTGCTGTCACTGGGACCCTCTGGAATTTTTCCATTGAAACATTTATCATAGTTACTTTGGCATGCTTCTGCTGGTGTACCAGTTAAACTCTTATATGTAAGAGGTGGGTACATGTGATTCTTATCTCCTAAGACTGCTTTTGAGGCAAAAGGATGTGCTCAACACATCAGCTAAGTGAACTCAGAGAAATCTCTTTATCATCCAGAAGTGACAGATGTCTTTAGAAGTATAACCATCAAGAACATGATAGTATGCCCATTGGGAATCTGGCTTTTAGATCAATAGACATTAGAGGCACAATGCAATTAATCTTTCTATTTGTGTACAGTCTCTGCATCTTGAGTAAATGTAAAATCATGTTTGAACAACATCTGTTTGAGGAAACTAGCTGTTTTGGTTTTAAATTAAATTGGATATGCTCTCAATCATGAGATGCAATTTCAAATCTCAATAGCTAAGCAGGATTGAGCCTGGTCAGTACTTGAATGGGAATGTCCAAGAAAAACCTCAGGGTTTTAGAGACAGTGGTCTGGGTAATTCAGTAGATTTCACAGTTCTCTATTAACCTATGCCCTATTATAGCTTTTGAGGAGAGAGAAAGCTATAGTCTTGACAATTTCTGGTCATCAAGGGTGACACACTATTTTTGTGAAACTGGTGCATTGGAAACTAGGCCTGATTTGTGAGATGACCCAATCAGATCTGGCCAGAGAGAGAGACTTGGATGATGTTCACCTCCGGTGGCTCTGCCTGCATTCTGAACACCACCTGGAATATGAGACTTTGGTTCCTGCTGTCACCCCCCACCTTCATGTCATTTTTCTTTCCCACCTTTTATCTTCTATTGTATTTTGTGCCTTCTCTTTAATAAAAGTGTTAGCTGGCTAAGTCTGTCTGTCTCACAGCAGTGCAGTGAGCCTAGGACTAGAGGTCAGCTAACGGCAGTGTTTTAAACAGCCAGCCTGACACTGGTGCAAGTTTGCCAAATCTCAGAGTAGCTGATAAGACCGGTGTTCTGCCAATGTTTCTCTAGCGGTCAGATTGCAAGTAAGTCAGTACCAGAGACAGAAGCTGCATTTTCTGTCCTTGCTGTTGTTTTGTGTTTGGGGGGAGGTGGGGGGAGAGGAAGAGAATCTGGATCAGAGTTTAACAGCAACAGTTCCAGCCCATCTCAACTGCTTTTCTCCAGAAAGGACAGTTATTACCATCTAAAAGACTCACAAGGTTTTTTTCCCTATAAAATCCTGACAGCTGAAGGGAAGAGGAATAAGGGTTATTTTTAATGACCCCTTACAGAATATTTAAAGGAAACTATAGTGTTTGCTGTAAATAAATATTACTACTTGTTCTGTTACAGAATGTGCACACTTGCTTTTGGCCCACAATGCTCCAGTAAAGGTGAAAAATGCTCAGGGATGGAGTCCTCTTGCAGAAGCCATCAGCTATGGAGACAGACAAATGAGTAAGAAATCTTAGCTGATTAATTGGTTGATGTAAACAGAGGTCTTTCTTAGCCTAGGAAATGAAGTCTGTTTAGCTGACATGAAGAGTATTACTTGGCACCTTGTGTAGACAAAGACAGTGTTAGTTGGTTGTTAAGGCCCCCTCTAAGGCTAGGTCTACACTACAGCGGGGTTCCGACCTAAGATACACAACTTCAGCTACGTGAATACCGTAGCTGAAGTTGCGTATTTTAGGTCGGCTTACCTGGCGGTGAGGACGCGGGAAAGTCGACCGCTGCCGCCGACTCCGCTACCGCCTCTTGTCGAGGTGGATTTCCGGAGTCGACGGTAGAGCCATCAGGGATCGATTTTACCGCGTCCTCACGAGACGCGGTAAGTCGATCCCCGATAAACCGATTGCTACCCGCCGGATCGGCGGGTAGTGAAGACGTAGCCTAAGGTTGACTGCAACTAGTTAACATTTATTTAGATAAATGCTATTGCCTTTGTCTACCCTGGATACTGTGGTGTTTAAAAATGTTAGTTAACTGTTAATTAATATCTCTGCTAAACACAGTTTCCCTAGTCCTGATAGCACCAGAGTGGTAGTAAGCTAAACTGTATTAAAGTGAAGACAGAAATTTAGTATGTTTAAGACCTTGTTTTTCAGTGGATGTAAAAACAACAAACTGACCTTTTCTAAATAAGAGTAAAATCGTAAGCCAAGGTAACAATGTGATTCACTCACGTTCTGCTATTTCTTACTGTAGACCATTGGGACATTTTAATGCCTCTTAAAAGTTAATCAACCAGCTATGTGTTAAATATCTCAAGTGCAGTTTCTAGTTGTGATTAATGGGAGGGAGTGTGTGTGCAGATAACATGTAACCACTGGCAGTGGGATACTACTTTTGTCTTTGGCCTGGTCTACACTACGACTTTAATTCGGATTTAGCTGCGTTAATCCGAATTAACCCTTCACCCGTCCACACTACAGAGCCAGTTAATTCGAATTAAAGGGCACTTAAAATCGATTTCTGTACTCCACCTCGACGAGCGGAGTAGCGCCAAAATCGATTTGTTAATTCGAATTAGGGTTAGTGTGGCCGCACACCACCGAATTAATGTGGTTAAATTAATGGGGTAGTGTGGCCGCACACCACCGAATTAATGTGGTTAAAAACCGAATTAATGTGCTTAGTGTGGCCGCGCACAATCGAATTTATACAACCTGTTTCCCAAATTCGAATTATCTAAATTCGGATTAATCCCGTAGTGTAGACATACCCTTTGGTTCTCTGCTGACCAGGGGGACTAAGTCACAAGCTGTGTTGAGTGAGTTACTTATCCATTCTGCTCTCAAGTGAAGCAGTAAGGATCAAAATTAGCCCACTGCCACCTGTTGTTAGATGGCAGTTAAGTACTTCATTATTTGTTGTTTTACTGCTTCTCATAGCACACAACTTAATGTTTTGCTGGTCATTTGTAAATACTACCAGCATTTTAAACACAGGGCATTCCTCTGTGCTGAGGCTTTCTCCCCATAGAAGTAAATATTAATGTCTTCCACGGACGCATGTCCAGTAGTATGCAAGCAAAAATGGGATGCAGCTAGAAGTGTTGCCATGAACTTACATATACTGATTATGTTGCAAAACAGGATTACTGAGGCTTTCTTGCTGCTGTGATTCAAATATAGCTATATATAATTACATATTTAAAATGTCTGATGAAACAGACACTTGCTTACATTTTTCAATATTTGAAAAGCTCTGGAAAATGAGTTCCTGTCCTGAGGGGTTCACAATCTGAGCAAAATATTTGATTTACAGTACTCTTCTATTTAGTTACAGCACTCCTAAGGAAGCTGAAACAGCAGTCCAGGGAAAGTGTTGAAGAAAAGCGACCTCGATTATTAAAAGCCCTGAAAGAGGTAAGCTTAAGGAAACTGTTGATAAATGACAATTATTCTTTTATTATGTTGACACTGATCCACACTATCATGTGCCCTGCTACTCTCCAGGAGAGCCCATTTCAAACCAGGTAACCCTTTGAGGAAGTATGTTTTCTTTGCCTTGAAAGAGATCATGATCACCACATGGTGGTGCAGATGATCTCTTAGTGGGGACATGTGGAGGCAGTACATTTCTAGAGTAAAAAGTACTGTGGTAAGGTAACTTCTCTCACTATTAAATTTTCAGAGATTCTTTAGTTAGTTAATCTAAATGTGCTAAATGCTGGAGTTATACTTGAGGAAATCAAATGCTTAATTTTAAAGTTACTCACAGGAATTGACATTACTTTTCATTTGGCAGGTTCAGAGCCCTAATGAATCACTGGAGTGTCGTAGTTTACACAGACACACACAGTGTCTGGCATTTTCATTGTTCATTTTGACTGTCACTAGTGCACTGGTTCCCAAATTGTTGTTCATTATCACTCATGGTGAAGTGGCTGGTCACATATGTTGATTATTTCCAATGGTTCCATAGTATTGCAGTATTAAGATATAGCCAGTGCTTCCTAATACTTTTCTATGTAAACAAACTGATGTGATTGCCCCAGCAAAGTTGTGGTTGCAAATAGGTGGGGAGACAGTACATGCATCCTGAATGGGAGAGTGGGTGGTGCATGCTGTGAAATAGTTTGTGTCCCTCCTCTTGTTTATTGGCTCAGTTTCATAGCTTCATGTTTTGGAGCACACATCTCTAGGGATAAGAAGAGAGCTTAAGCTCTATGCCCGGTTAGTCCTAGGTGCTCTGCGGAAACCGCCTAAAAGTGCCAACGAGGCTTTGGGACACAGGAGTTCCTCCTCCACTGTTATAACAATTTCTAAAAGCTCAGTTTATGTAAGGAGGAATTATCCATCTCCTGTGGTTTGCAGTAATTAAGCCAGGGCTTTCAATGTGACATAAAAGTTAGAAGGATACTTATTTTGTATTGGATTAGGTTTTTAAGCTTCTCTTTTGGAATAACTCTATTCCTTACACCAGATTTTGTTTCTGATATGCTCACCTCTTTCAGCTATCAGTTTTACTACATGTAACATTGAACCTTTTTTCTTTTCCTTCCCCCTTTCTGTCAGTGCACTCATAGCAGTGAGTTTTTAGCCTAGTCTTTCACTTAAATAAATGTACCTCTGTGTGCAGCTGCCTAACTCTGCCTGTGCACAGTAATGCTTTCCCCAAAGCATTAAATATGAAACTAGGATTAAAAGATTCTGTCCAGTTTCAAATTGCTGCTGCCTGTGCTCTTGTTAGAACACTAGCTGCTATAAAACATCACAGGTGCTTTCAACTTCCCTTGGGTCAGTGGTAAAATGTGGAATGGCTTGTGGAAAATAGGGGGTTGAGTCCACATCCATTTAAAATCTGTATCTGTAAAACAGATCTGTGCAGTTTCTCACCAGCCCCAGTGAGACTGGCAGACAGTCACTAAGGTTACTTGGCCCTCCAGCTAAACCCTAAATCCCACAGCTCTAAATGTCACCAAGCCATTGTCTGGTGATCCAGGATGATCTGACCACCACAGAAAGGAAAGGGTCAGGGGGAGGGGAGGAGAAAGGAAGAAAAGAAGCCAGAGAAAATATCCGAGTACTTAAACTAAATACTGATATATCTCTTGTATATCATCCACAGCCAAAATCTTTAGTCCTATTTCCCCATCTGTTCCCTTACCTCTCAAGCTAGTCCAAAGTTTCCTAGGGAGACAGGCCCCATCCTGTACCAAGTTTTCATACATTTGTGCCTCTCCTCCTGCCTGCCCCTTTCTGGAACTGGTCCTCCTCCTCCTCCTCCTCCCACCATTGGCAGTTCTTCAGTCGCCTAGTCGTCTTGGCTGCTGCCTCATCTTCTGTCTATGGAATGAGCTGGGTCTGGTTTATATAGACTCGAGACCCCTCCCACTCCTGGCAGTCTCGGAGAGGATTAGCTAATTGGAGTCATGTACTTAGTTTTTTTTTTTTCCCCCTTGAATGATTGCAAATAAAAGAAATTCAGAAATATAAGCTACTAATGGGCAGTTTAGCCTCTCAGTTTGTAACTTCATCATATTCACTTCGCTCTAGTTGGAATCAAGAAATGTTAATTTAATTGTTTTTCAGATGATAACATTGGAGGAACGAAAGCTAGATTTTTTTTTTTATTCAGTTATACCCTGTCTTCATTTTATCTAGCCTTTCCCAAGATGACATTTGCATTTCGCGTGTCTTCCCAGAAATGTTAAACAGCTGTCAATATGGCTAATGATACATTCATATTTTTTTCACAGCTAGGTGACTTCTATCTAGAACTTCACTGGGATTTTCAAAGTTGGGGTAAGAACTATAATACCTACCTTTATGTACTGATAGGTGCAAAGAAATGGAATCTGTAGTATCCCCCTAAAATTAGACTCCAGCATTGCTTAAAGAAAAAAATTAAACCCCACAGAGACCTCCCTTCTTTTTAGATGATGTGTGCAGAATTTCAAAGCCAATTTGCATGGAAAAATAAGCACCTGCTTATTTGTTGAGCAGATGTGCATATAGCAACAACTTGGAGTGTTGCAAAGTAAATTGTGCTCTGCCTGTTGAGCTGACACCTGCACCTTTCTGTATAGGTGTGCAGTATCTGAAAGGGCCAGACAGGGTGGGAACCAGGCCTTCCTAGAGTGGTGATGCTGAGGCCTGATTCACAATGCCTTGATATGTCAGTCAGCCTTTGCCTAGGAAAATAGGAACCAGGAGTATAGCCAGAACTGCATTGTGGTTCCACCACTAATCTCCCACAATGGTGAGCAGCACGATCTTGAGTGGAGTGCATCCTCTAATGGCTTTCCCAAAACCACCCCATTCTGCTAATCTAGGGTCGAACCCCTCTTTGTGTAAATCCAGTTTCATAAGAATAAGACATCCTGGACAGTACGTTTCAGAACAATTATTCCCCTTCTCAGTAGGTTCAACTGACTGCAATTTGTCCTGTGCCTTTATAATGCCACTCAGAACATTGTGGGGCATTTTTAACCATTAACTGTTTTACTGCAGTAAAAGAAATGATGCTTTAAAAAATGCAGTAAGCTGTGTTATATCTGTCTTCTCACTTATTAATATGATAGGACTGTCCTGATGCCCAGTTTCACTGCTGGTTTAATGTTCACTTGAAGTTTTAGATATGCTACACTATGCACTTTCCATTTCAGTGGTTTCAATACAGTCTAACTGTAACTAATCTTTTTAGCCAATATAATAGAGACATAAAGGAAATTCTGAGATCATGACTAAAATATAAGTAGCCAGGAGGCAAATGGTTGGGAACCTGTATCTGGTTCAGTTGGCTTGAGAGCATTTTAAGCTGTTGTGTGATGCTGAAGGCAATCTATTTCACTACAGGGTATTTGTTCATTTTTCAGTTCTTGATTGCAACACTGTAATTTTAGGTACAATTTCAATAAAAGTGTAATGGGCATAGTTCTATACTTAAAATATAGTAATATCTGAAGATGGGTGAAATTTGCAGTGTTTTATTAAATGTATATTGCTGAGATAGGGTCTGTTGCGCAGAAGTACTTAAGAAATATAACTATGTCTTGTTCAGTATTAATACTTTTCTTTTACACATATAGTGCCTTTACTTTCCCGAATTCTGCCTTCCGATGCGTGTAAAATATACAAACAAGGTATAAATATCAGGTAAGCACTGGTTTGTACTATTGTAAACTTAAGTTAAAACGAAGTGTTTATTACTGAACTACAACAATGTAACTGAAATATCACTTCTGGTAGTGGTTTGAAGGCTATAAATCAGGGGTGGGCAAACTTTTTGGCCGAGGGCCACATCTGGGTGGGGAAATTGCATGCAGGGCCATGAATGTAGGGCTGGGGCAGGGGGAAGGAGTGCGGTGTGCAGGAGGGGGCTCAGGGCAGGGGGTTGGGGTGCGGGAGGAGGCTCAGGGCAGGGGGTTGGGGTGTAGGAGGGGGCTTAGGGCAGGGGTTCGGGGTGCAGGCTCCGGCCCTGCACCGCTTACCTGGAGAGGCTCTAGGGTGGCAGTGGCGCACAGCAGGGCTAAGGCAGGCTCCCTGCCTGCCCAGGCCCCACGCTGCGCCACTCCCAGAAGCGTCCGGCATCACGTCCCTGCGTCCCCTGGGGGAGGGAGGCAGAGGGCTCTGCGCGCTGCCCTTGCCTGTGGGTACCTCTCCCAAAGCTCCCATTGGCCGCGGTTCCCCATTCCCGGCCAATGGGAGCTGCGGACGGCGGTGCCTGCAGGCGAGGGCAGCGCGCTGAGCCCTCTCCCCTCCCCACCGTCCCCCAGGGGTGCAGGGACGTGGTGCCGGCCACTTCTGGAAGCGGCGTGGGGTCCGCGGTGCCACGGGGGTGGCAATCCCGCAGGCTGTAGTTTGCCCACCCCTGCTATAAATGGCTCCAGCCTTTAGAGCTTTCCGAAACAGTGTTATGCTTGCATGATTTTTTTTTTTTTTTTCTTTTTTTTATAGAAGGGCAGTCGGGGGAGGGTGGGGAGGAGGAGGAAGAAGTTGCACATTGTCCTTTTTAAAAACAAAAAAAACCTCTGTTTATTTAACAGACTAGAACTGCCTTGCAAATAACTGAGATCTGCATTCTGAGCTAGTTGCAAAGGTTTAGTTCTGTTCAAATTAAAAATTGCTTTATGTAATGATTATGTTTCAGGGGTCTCTATGGAAGTGAATCAAACAAGCATTTACAATTATTCTAATACCAAACAGGAGTGGGATATTACTGTTGACTGTACTTAACTCTATCTCAGGCATAATTGGGAGTAATAGGATAAAATTAAGGGAAGAAACTTAGTCAAGGAAAATCTGTAAATCGAGAGACCTATTGTATAACAGTGTTTTGTGGGATGTGGTGAAATGCATTATAACTTGTCCTGTCCAGTTCAAGTGACAAAGCATCAAAGAACACTCTAATGGGAAAATCTCTTTTGACGCAGGATGCACTAGATATCTGAGTAAATCTTCTCCACTTATTGCCTTTTAGATTCTTTGATGCCTAATCTAAATTCTTATTTGATTCAATTCTGTAAATGCTTGCAAAGGCAGCCTAGTATGTTTTTAATATCTTTGGAATAAGTGTTTTCTGATATTTCTTGTGCATTGGAATGCAGCTTTCTGCTCTTCTAGGTGTTAAAGTTGGTTTTCTTAGAAGTCAGCTCAGATGATGCTCTTGACTAACAAGTGTTGTAATTACTGAAGTGCTTCTGAAACTTAACTAGACAGTGATAACTATAACTTAAATTCAAATGGTTGGAGAATGAATTCTGGTTAGTTTCTTACTGAGTCAGTTCCGGGAACAAATAGTTCAGTTGTACCTGACTATCTGTCATGTAACACATTCATGTCTCAGTGAGTCAGTTATATTTTGTTCAGAAATGTGGCTGCTCTATAAAACATCAGTGGCAAATGTTACTATAACTTCAGAGAACAAATGTTCAAATTCTGAGAGGCAAGAGTTATAAACCATTTTGTTTCTACAACTTTTCCAGCCGAGCTCTTTAATTAGCTGTAATATTCTTTGTTGGATTCAAGTGTCTCTTCCCTTTAAGCTCCAAAATCAAAAAAATCAGAATAATAAATTATTCAAAGAAACTGCTGCTCTCTTTAAAGCTTTTAACACAGAAATATGTTCTGACTTTTTAGGTCAGCTCTCACTGAGACCAGTCTGAGTCTCTTCTCTGCGCACATGCTACTTGCATTAATGGTAATGGGAGTTGAGAGTGAATCTACATGAGAATACCCTATATTGTCTTGAATTTAAAAGATGAATAAATGGCATAACTGATTTTAAAAATATTGCTTAAGAACTAGTGGCTGTTAGACTAAACAAATCTGGTTGGTGGCTTTAGCTGTCTGTAAAAACACACATTTTGGAGGCAGCCCACAGGAATTATATCAGGGGAAAACTTCATGCTCCACTCAACTCTTAATTTGACAGGTAGAAGTATTCCCTATGCCAGGGGTCGGCAACCTTTCAGAGTCTTTGTTGATACACTCTAATTTAAGGTTTCACGTGCCAGTAATACATTTTAACATTTTTAGAAGGTCTCTTTCTGTAAGTCTATAATATATAACTAAACTATTGTTGTATGTAAAGTAAATAAGATTTTTAAAATGTTTAAAAAGCTTCATTTAAAATTAAATTACAATGCAGGGCCCCCCAGACCGGTGGCCAGGACCCGGGCAGTGTGAGTGCCACCGAAAATCAGCTCGCGCGCCACCTTCAGCACGTGTGCCATAGGTTGCCTACCCCTGCCCTGTGCCTATGCTGCTGAAAGTACAAGAAAATAAATAAAAGGCTGGAAATAATCTAGCTAAATATGACAAAAACAAGGCAATGCAAAGTTCATTCTGTTACTGGTCCTCTTCTCAATTTGGGCCAGATCCTGATACCATTACTCGCAACCTTGCTGAAATCAGTGAAACTGTTCAGTAATCCTCGTTCACACTGAATAACACATATCAGAATGTGGCCACTTATGTTTAGGGAAATTCCTCTCAGTGTATTTGTATGCCAGGTAAAATCAGTCAGTATCCTGATACCATGCAGTTTTGAGGGCAAAAGGATGCAGTGGCAGCTTTTCTTAAAATGTTTTCCATTTGTAATTCTGCTATATTGATACAATATGAAAGGAAAGCATTATCTTTTGCCATGAAAGTAACATAAAAATCCCCTGAACTGTATTTGTAATGTAGGACTAAGTCACATTGAATTCTGTACATTTCGCCACATTTATATAATTGAATCCCTATACATTTTCCTATGCATTTGTGCCACAACCTTAGTTTGCATTTATACAGATATCTTTACTACATTTGGAATTTACTGTATAAGCAAAAAGTAGTAATTTGTTGCCTATTTATATAAGTGAAATTTGCAATAATAATTATATTAAAACACAATGAAAATGTAGACTTTACTATACCATTTTTGGGGGAAAAGCAATGCTGTTGGATGCTAATAGAACTCATTTGTGTATTTGAACATTTCTGGATAATTCCTTTTGCAAAGGTGCTTTACCGTGGGTATATTTCCACAGGCTTGACACAACTCTCATAGACTTTACTGACATGAAGTGCCAACGAGGGGATTTAAGCTTCATTTTCAATGGTGATGCAGCACCCTCTGAATCTTTTGTAGTTTTAGACAACGAACAAAAAGTTTATCAGCGAATACATCATGAGGTGAGCAGCTGCATATATACACAATGTTAAACATATTCCCTTATACCTATATGTTTTCAGTACTAATGAAATACTTACATTAAATGTGTATTCTGCTAAAAAGTCAGGTTCTGTACCCAACTTTAAGCTACTGTTCACATGGATGGTGATGCAAAATCAACAAAATGGGGCAAGGTGCTTTCAAATAATAACTTTAAAGCTTCTTAACGGATTTTAGACAGCTATCTGTCCCTTTCCATGGAAACAGAGAAAAATTGGAGCAGAGTTGTAAACATATCGCCACTGAAGTTAGGGACGGTGATGCTGTTTGTTTTGTTTGTTTGTTTTTTCCCCCCTTCTTCTTCTCCCCAGCACCAGACAAACTGTTTGAATCTGTTTTTTCCATTGGTGGTATAGTAATGTTAAACTAATTGAGAATGTACCCGTACATTAAATTATTAGTACATTTGGCTGGCACAGTTTTAGACCATGTGCCTCCTCCTGTAATACCAATTGTATAAGGTACTATGATGCCAATGTTATAGGACATTTTTTGAATAATTCCAATAAAATAGCTACTTCTTGAAGCATCCATAATTTTCTGGGGGAGAAAAATTGTCCAATTAAAAGGATAAGGCTTATTCATGTACAGTCTGCTTGTAAAAATTAGAAAGTTTAAAATAATCAGTAAGTACTGTTCAGTATTTTAGGATTTCTTTTGCTCCAGGAATCTGAGATGGAAACGGAGGAAGAAGTTGACATTTTAATGAGCAGTGATATTTATTCAGCAACATTATCAACCAAATCAATTACCTTCACGCGTGCCCAAACAGGATGGCTTTTCAGAGAAGACAAAACAGTAAGTCTGAACAGAGCCTCTCTGTCTTATCCAGCCCTTTCTTTATTACTGTGTTCAAAATAGCACTGGCAGATGGTGTTAATGCAAAAGAGGAGAGTAAGGAGTGTGTGTTTGTCTTCAACATTTTTATCATGTTAAATCTCACCTCTCTTTGAGTTGTAAGCCATGGAGGAAGAGGGTTTTTTAAGTTCATGGTTGAAGCAGAGTCTGTGCCAGATAGTGAAGGCAGTGTAAGCAGTGTAGTTAAAGGATCTATGACCCATTGTGAAGAGACAGGAAAGGGGACAGAAAAGTGCAGTATTCCACAGTAGAAGTAGAGAATGAACAAGAGATTATGAAGACCTGAAGTCGGAAGTAGGGGAATAGGAAAATTCAAGATCTTGTAATGAAGACTTGAGAATGAAGATGTTTAAACATTTTGCTATAGCTTGGACAGAATCAGTGTTTAGATGCCACAGTAATAGTTGACATATTAAAACAGATAGATAGAAACCAAAACAATGGCAGAAAGCATATTAATTCCTTTTCAGAGGATTGGATGAAGAGAAGTCATAGCGGTTATTGTTCAGGCACTCGTTTTATTATCTCTGGCTAATGAAGGCACTTCAACTTAAAAACTCCCAAAGGCTATTTCTGATAGCTGACAGCATTTGCTAGGTCCCCTGTTAAACCACTCCCCTCTTGCCAGCATGCAGTTTTCAGCCAGTTTTTGCTTCTCCTACCAGCTCCCCATTCAGGGCAAGCAAGATGATAGGTGAGGCAATAATCAGCTGACCTAGGTGCTCTGCCCATTCCTCTGACATTCCAGATCCCAGACAGCAAAGGCAGATACAAAGATTATGCAAAAATACAACTTTATTAAAAAATGTTTAAAGCATACAGTGTAGAAATCCCATGGGGATTCACCTGAAAAATGCAACAGTTAAAAGGCAGCTTAGTCAGCAGGCACCCAGAGTACGTTGGTGTACTAACTTTAACTGTGTTCTGGCTGATCATTTTTGAAGAAACACCTGCTAATTTGGAACTCTGAGTAGAAATTGAGCTCAATATACTTTATGCCCCTGTGTCTTCCGATTCCACCGAAATCTACACTAGACTGCATCATTGTCAGGTACAGACAGAAAATACAGCTCACTGTATTTGCACTTCGACAAGATACATTTAGAGCTTGCAGAAATCTACATTAATTTGAATTAACAAAGGGAAAAAACCCAAACTCTCTCTACAATTGTTACTGCTCTTACAGCTGTAGAAACTGTGAATATACAGAATGCCAGTACCTTACAGTTGTTCGGGTTTGATCTCCTCAAAGAGGATGAAGCAGAGATATCAACAGTGGTCAGAGACATGGGGTTGGGGATTTACCTGTGATGTTGGAGATGACCTACTCTAGGATTATTTAGTGCAGAAAGGCAGATTGAGAGGGATGAGACTAAAATTTGGGAAATAAGGACCTGATCCTACAAGCTTCTTTATGTTCCATTGAACACAGGAGGTGGTGCTCAGCATTTCATAAGATCAGGCCCTGAGGTATTAAAAACAATTAAAGGAGTTAACAAAAATTGTGTGGGGCTACTATTTCTTCTCTCATTCTACAAGAATAGAGGCACTCAAAGCTGTAAAGTAGAAAGTAATACCATTTATAATTTTAAATTACTAAACTGCATACAGTAATACCAAGAGTAATGGCAAATAATTTCACAGTGTTTTTTTAAAGGATTAGATAAAGTAACACTTCCTGCTATGCAACCTAGACACATGGAAAATCCAACCTGTCTGAGAGGTACTAGCGCTCATTTGTAAGGCAATGAAAGGAATGTTTTTTTTCTCCTTAGGTATAGAAGGCCTGTTGTTCTCCTGTGTGGGGGAAGATATTTGCCTTCTTTTGAAGCATTAGGTGATGTCACTCAAAAGTTAGCTCATATCTGACCATGTTTTTCTAATTTTTACTTTTTCCATTTTATGAAATGTAAACTCTAGGTGCAAAAAATAAGTCATATGTATAAAATATCAGTTGATACAGTCAGCTGTTCTAGAACGTACCAGCCACAGAAGAAGAAACATGTTTCCCCTTGCCATCTTTAGATTAGCTCTTTGGGAAATAAATAGATGTTTTGTGCTAATGTAAGTTTTTATCCCCAAAGAAATCCTGGCAAGGGCAGCCAGTGTTTCTGCTGCACTTTCATTTACATTGTTGGAGGTATTCAGTGTTAATGAAAGTGCTCTGTCAGTACAGGTGACTTAAAGTATAACATTCATTCTTATGTTCTTAAATGTATCATGTAACAGAGTCATTTTAGTCTTTGAATATTCCTGATTTAAGTTACTTTACCGTAGCTTTTGAGTTCATTAATGTCAGATATCTATCTTACAGGAAAGAGTAGGAAACTTCTTGGCAGACTTCTACTTGGTCAATGGACTTGTTTTAGAATCTAGGAAAAGAAGAGAACATCTCAGTGAGGAAGATATTCTTCGAAATAAGGCCATCATGGAAAGCCTGAGTAAAGGTGGTAACTTGATGGAACAAAATTTTGAGGTATAGTTAGCTTGTTATCTACATCAGTTTTATTCCAGGGAATGTTAATCTTCACACTTGATACCTAATAAGCTTTATAGAAAAAAAAATGTTTTCCCTCCTCTTTTCTGTATAAAACTTAGTTTAAAACATCTGAACTGGTTTATAACTCTAATCAATGTGGTCTTTCCCCTGTTAAATTCCTTCTGAATACTGAATATTTCAGTGAGTGATCCCTGGATCTTTCATGATGGCTTTTACTATAAGGTGGAGTTCTTTCTGGCTGACTGAATCAGAATAGTTTAGTTTTCTATTTGGCAGGATTTTTTTGGTTCTAGTTTAGAATGTTGCTTTGAAGGTCATCTTTTTGTTAGTGCTGTTCCCTGCTAGAGCACTTTATAGAGATGGCTGGCTGATTTTACCCAAGACCTGGCTTCTGAATGGTCCCATTTTAAGTACCTTATCAAGCCAATTGGTTAGAGCTTTGGGCAGGATTAGCCTTAAAATGTAGTTTCCCTCTTTTCTTCATGAACTGGGAAATTATTCCCCAAATAGTTAAACTGCTGACTTATAGTCTTCACACTATCCTAAATGTTTGAATGTACTTTTGTGGTTTTAGTCTTTGTCTCATAATTTTCAGGCAAACTTTATGCATTCCAACTTTTGTGGCTTACACTCTTTGGTTAAAATGTGGTAACATAAGGAAGGCATGGATATCACTTTACTATCTTGAGCTAATTATAGTTACTTTCAATGGATAACAAATATTTCACTGATCATAATGTAAAGAAAGCAAACTGCTACATGAAGTCAAAGCATGAGGAGTTCAACTGTGTGGTGAATTGATTTAATATTTTCTATTTGTCGAGTTTTTGTGCGTGTTAAAATCATCCAGCATAAAATGACTGAAGTGATGTTATGCTTGGGGGGAGGGAGCAGAGGTGGGGGAGCATTGGAATTACTTGGTGTTACTAATGTGTAACATGTCACAGTGGACTTGCTGCTTGGGGGATTTATTAGAGCAGCCAAGCAACTTACTATTTTTACATGGATAGTGAGTTCAGTGTTAGTAAGGAATGACTGTGCAGTTGTGCCAGGTTGTGCAAATTACAGGGGTGTCTTTCTGGACCACAGTGCTTCAGAGAATAGGATTCTAGTACATTTTTATTTGTGTATATATTTGTGAATATAGAGCCAAGATTTTTTTTCCAAAATGTTTTACGTCAGATGCCTGTTTCTGAAATCTTGCTAGTAGATATATATATATATATACTGGGTTTTGAGAATTTACTACCAATTTTAAAACCTTTGCCTAACTTAAAAATTATACATTCAGTTCCTGAATACATATGGTAATGGAGAGTAGCATCCCTCCACCACCACCCTGGAACAGGGATAGAGATCCACAAGCAATGTTTTAGCAACCTTCAGGCATGTCCAGTTTCCATTGGAAGAGATTAACCCCAGTAGATAGAGACCGCTCAAATCCTACAATAAATGTGGTAATTTATTTATTTGGAATGAATGACACTTTTACATTTAATTTTCACTAGTTTTCTATTGCTTGAGCAGGCACTTAGATTGGTGATAATAGGTGATTTTTTTTTTTTTTTTTAGAAAGCATAAACACAGTAGAACTGATCGAGGAATAGATTTACCTTCTAAAATCAGCCTGACTGTAATCCATCTTACCTGACACTTGAGTGCTACCATAAAATATTGGGCAAGCATTCTGGATTCCTAATTTAGGTCATAGTGTGGTGTGTGCAATGATGTTCTGTTTCATGGTATTAAATAGACACTTTCTTTTTGCTAATGGAAATAACCTGGTTTGGTAATGTTATCTGCTTCTGTCTACCAAGTAAGTGACTCTTGCAAGTCAAGCTTGAAGTTCATTTGCAGGACAGTGTTGAACGCTGATCTTGAAATATGCTTGGTTGAGTAGAGAAAATGTTTACTTACCACCTCATAACTGTTGTTCTTTGAGATGTGGTGTTCACGTCCACTCCAATCAGATGTGTGCACGCCGCGTGCATGGTCGTTGGAAAGTTTTCCCTTAGCAGCTCCTGTTGTGTCGGCTGTGGAGCCCCTGGAGTGGCACCTTTATGGCGCTCAATATATGACCCTGCTGACCCAACCCCCCTTCAGTTCCTTCTTGCTGGCTGCTCCGAGAGAGGGGAGGAAGAGGATGGGTATTGGAATGGACGTGAACAACACATCTTGAAGAACAACAGTTACGAGAAGGTGAGTAACGGTTTTTTCTTCTTCGAGTGCTTGTTCACGTCAATTCCAATTGGGTGTCTCCCAAGCTCTACCCTGGAGGTGGGGTTGGAGTTAAGGAATCGTTGATTGGAGCACCACCTTGCCGAATGCAGCATCATCTCTGTTGTGTTGGGTGATAGCATAGTGAGAGGTAAACGTAAGCACCGATGACTAAGTTGCTGCCCTGCAGATCTCTTTTATCGGGACCTGGGCCAGGAACGCAGCTGATGAGGCTTGTGCCCTTGTGGAACGTGCCATAAGAGTTGGGACTGGGACCTTGGCTAACTTGTAACGTGTGGATGCAGGATGTGATCCAGGAAGATATTCTTTGAGATGAGACCAGGAGTCCTTTCATCCAGTCTGCTACCACCATGAACAGTTGGTTCGACTTCCTGAACGGTTTCGTGCGCTCGATGTAGAATGCTAGCGCTCTTCGAACATCCAGTGAGTCCAGTCTCTGCTCTTGGGTACTGGTGTGAGGCTTAGGATAGAAGACAGGTAGAAAAATGTCTTGACCAATGTGGAATTGTGACACTACTTTGGGGAGGAAGGCTGGGTGAGGCCTGAGCTGCACTTCGTCCTTGTGAAAGACCTTATAGGGTGGGCCGGAGGTCAGAGCCTTTAATTCGGACACCCGCCTTGCTGATGTGATGGCTACCAGGAAGGATACCTTCCACGACAAATAGAACAGGGAGCAAGTCACCAGTGGTTCAAAAGGGGGCCCCATGAGCCTGGTGAGGACCAGGTTAAGGTCCCATGCGGGAACCGGTCGCCTGATCTGTGGATATAGGCATTCCAAACACTTGAGGAAACGTCCTATCATGGGGTTAGCGAACATGGAGCGTCCAGATGTTCCTGGGTGGAAGGCTAAGATAGCAGCAAGATGCACCTTGACAGATGACGCTGCTAGGCCCTGCTGTTTGAGATGCAGAAGGTACTCCAGGATGAGTGGCATAGACTGGAGTGGAGGTGTGTGTTGCTGGGCACACCAGCAAGTGAATCTTTTCCACTTGGCTAGATAAGTAGCCCTGGTGGAAGGTTTCCTGCTGCCGAGAAGAACCTCCCTTACTGGCTCTGAACATAGGAGCTCCATGGGGTTTAACCATGAAGCTTCCAGGCCGTGAGGTGGAGGGACTGGAGGTCTGGGTGGTAGAGGTGACCATGGTCCTGAGTGATCAGATCAGGGCAGAGTGGTAGCACGATTGGGGTGTCCACTGACAGCTCCAGAAGCGTGGTGTACCAGTGTTGACGAGGCCATGCTGAGGCGAGCAGAATCACCTCCGCTTTGTCCCTGCAGATCTTGAGCAGCACCTAATGTATGAGTGGACTGGTGAGAAGGCATACGTGAGGCAGTCTCCCGAAGGTAGCAGAAACGCATCCATGATTGAACCCAGGCTGTGTTTCTGGAAGGAGCAGAACATTGGGCACTTCTTGTTGCTCCGGGTGGCGAATAGGTCGACCTGGGGAAATCCCCACCTTTGGAAGGTGGGATGAAGAACATCTGGATGGATGGATGGACGGACCATTTGTGGTTGCAGAACGATCTGCTGAGATGATCCACTAGCTTGTTCTGCGCTCCTGGGAGATAAGATGCCTCCAGGTGAATGGAGTGGGCTATGCAGAACTCCCATAGCTGGAGGGCTTTTTGACATAGGTGGGGAGAACGGGCTCCACTCTGTTTGTTGATGTAGAACATAGCAGTGCTGTTGTCCGTCATCACTGCCACGTTTTGGCCTTGTAGCCGGGACTGGGAAGCTTGGCATGCCAGTTGCACTGCTCTGAGCTCCCTGATATTGATATGAAGGGAGAGCTCGTCCCGCGACCACAGGCCCTGTGTTCGGAGATCTCCCAGGTTTGCCCCCCAACCCAGATCTGACGTGTCTGATATTAGGGACAAGGAGGGCGGTGCACTGTTGAAGGGGACACCTTCGCATACCATCTGAGGGTTGAGCCACCATGGTAGGAACTCGAGTATGTGTCCTGGCACTGTCACTACCGAGTCCAACCTGTCACGCCCTGGTCGGTATATCTGGGCGAGCCACGCTTGAAGGATTCTGAGTCTCATTCTGGCATGTTTGACTAAGTACGTGCAGGCCGCCATGTGTCCCAGGAGACTCAGGCATCCCCTTGCAGTAGTGGTCGGGTACCCCTGAGGCTTTGAATAATGTCTGTCATGGCCTGGAAACGGGTCTCTGGCAAGAATGCACTTGCCTATACCGAGTCCAATACCACTCCGATGAATTCTATTCTTTGGGTCGGTGATAAGATTGACTTGTTCATGTTGATGAGGATTCCCAATCTCTGGAAAGTGGACCTGACCAATCGTACACGAGACTCTACCTGCTCCCTGGTACAGCCCCTGAGCAGCCAGTCGTCTAGGTATGGGTATACCTGCACCTACCTCCTCCGGAAGAAGGCTGCTACGACCGACATGCACTTGGTGAATACTCGGGGGGCTGTCGACAGACCGAATGGGAGGACTGTAAAGTGATAGTGTTTGTGGTTGAGCGCAAACGGGAGAAAATGTCTATGCACAGGTCGAACGGCTACGTGAAAGTACGTGTCTTTCATGTCAAGAGCTGCGTACCGGTCTTCTGGATCCAGGGAAGGGATAATAGTGCTCAGGGAGACCGTGCAGAACTTCAACTTTACCGTGAACTGGTTGAGTCCTTCCAGTTCTAAAATGGGTCTGAGACCCACCTTTGTCTTGGGAATTAGAGAGTCAGCTGATAGGAATCGATGTGAACAAGCACTCGGAGAAGAAAAAACAGTTACTCACCTTCTCGTAACTGTTGTTCTTTGAGATGTGTTGTTCACGTCCATTCCAGTACTCACCCTCCTTCCCCTCTGTCGGAGTAGCCGGCAAGAAGGATCTGATGGGGGGTCAAGTTGGCAGGGTCATATATTGAGCGCCATGAAGGTGCCACTCCAGGGGGCTCCACAGCCGACCCGATGGGAGCTGCTAAGGGAAAAGTTTAGATGACCATGCACACGGCGCGTGCACACCTGATTGGAATCGACGTGAACAAGCACACGAAGAAGAATATATATTTACACGTTATTTTAGGGCTATTGATATTTAATACGTTTTCCCATTAATCAGGTTTTGGTTAAATTTGTTGTGCTTTTTAAGAAAATTGTACAGAGCAATGATTGTCTCTCATCAGATCTGTGATGCTGTATTGTCAGAGAACAGATAAGCTTCGACTGCTTGCAAATACCCAGGATAAATGTTACCTCTATTTGATTTCTTAATGTTTAGCTGGGAATATGCTATCTAAATCTTAGTGTTGTGCTAGCTAAATGTATTTGTAAAATCTAGTCTTCCCCTTAACTATTAAGCCCAGTGGCTCTGCTTTAAATCTGCTGCTTTTTTGCAGTTCAGCTCTCTTTTCAATACAGTGTTAGAGCTTTGTTCCCTACAAATAGATGTCACAATCCCAGGTAGGAAACATAGGGGTTGATATTGGAAACAAATTGTTCATGTGATTAAATAGTGGAAGCCTCTTTAAGAATCCATGACTGGCTTGTCTGGTGAAGTCAACAGCCAGGGACTTTCTTGTCTAACAGTTGTCCTTGAATACAAAGCTATTAGATTTATTAGAGAATTAAGGAAGACTGTTTTGAATCAAATTAATTTAGATTTTAGTTAAAGTGTAGTAATCTTTGTAGCATGTAAACTAAGCATTCTAATTCAGATTCAAGTTGCTTGCCTGTATATTAGCTAAAGGAAGAAATATTCCAATTGCCATCCTTAAATGAAACTTAAATATTTATCCTTTCAATAATTTGGACTTTTCTCCTCTCATTGTTTGTTGGAGGTTGACTGTAACTTCCAAATTCTCTTCACAGTTGAAATGCACCTTCTAAATGTAATATGCCACTGGATACGAATTTGCACAATTGAGCTGATATGTAAAATACACATCATCTTTTGTAAAAGTTAGTGAAATACTATACAAGCCATCAAATCTTGTTTTCTTACTGTTCTGTTTATAGACTAATTGAACTGAATAGTCAGTTAACATATGGCATAATTATTTTGCCAAGATGAGCATCAGTATGCTTCTTTTTCTGACAAAGAATATTAAATGTGATGTTGTTATAATGGAAGACCGTATCAACTATGAATGTCCATTCACAGCCAGGCAAGAAAAACAAGCAGATTTTAAATACTAAACATGCCTTGAAGATATTAGGATTTCAGATAGGTTCATCAGAAAGGAGCCCTCTCCAAAGTCAGTGTCTTTTTGGATACCATCTTTAAAAATCACAGCTTTTCAAAGCAGACTAAAACTGCTAGAAGCTGAATATAGCAATTTGGACAAAACTGATTATGAATAAAAGAACTGACATAATGGATTTGTTGTAGTAATGCATCTAAGATCGTGCTCTTTTGGATTGCAGGCAGTTTGGGGCAGGAACTCTTCTGTGTTTGGAAACCACCTAGCATATTTTGGGAATTACCATAGTCCCAATAAGTCAAGCAAGAATGGAAAACTGGCATCTCAGTGTTGGAAATGGGACTGTAATAAATGTATTTGTCTCTATCAAATGGGAAATTTGCTTTCTTCCATACTTTTTTTTTCATAATCATTTCCCTTCCAGTCACCTCCATAATTCAGTCAGCAGAATAAACCTTGTCATGCTTCTGTGTATTGTTGCCTGTGGTGTTCTGAGCAGTAATGAAATGGACCAGTCTCATAAACATCCTGGTTGTTGCCAGCACTTTCCAGGCAAAGTAAACGTTACATCAGAGGGAAGATTTCCAGCATTGGGTGATTTTGCTATCTTTGTAAATCCTCAAGAATTGTCCCGTTTTAATTCAAATGCTTTGAAAATTAGTGTACCATCAAACAAGATGGCTTCAACCTTGGCAACACCTTGGGTAGGAACTTTGAAGTCCGCTGAAGTGCAATGAGCAGCAGGATTTTTTTCCCACCACGATACATTAAATATTTACTAGCTGCATAGTCAACTTTATCTCCTTATTTTACCAGATCTTGGAATCTCAAACAATTCTTTATGCAGTATATTCTTGAAGTACAGGACTATCTTCTCAAAAAAAAAAAAAAAAAAAAAAAAAAAAAGGACGTTAAGTTAATATCTTTGGATTATTCTTAAGAATATCCTACAATAGCATTGTCCAAATGTCTAGTTTAAAGGGAACTCTTTTTATTTTAAAGAAGAAAAGGTGTATTATGAGAACAATCAGCGTAAAGATTTTATTTATAGTATACATTAGCCATAATTTCCATCAGTCTCTTCTTTCCTGTTACTTGTCGTCCTGATGTTCATGATTATTGCAGCACTAAAATAGCAGACTTCTGTGTGAATTAATACTTGGAGCCAAATGTCCACATGCAAAGTTAAAACCCTGGGAGGGAAGAGCAGGAGGTAGAGTTGAAACTGTTAAACTTGGCTAGCTTCATATTGGATGGGATGAACTGATACATTTTATAGACTGAAAAGTGCAATTTTATCTTTTGAACAATATAGTACCATGCAATAACTTAATATTTTACAGATAGTGACCACTTGTTTTTCCTTAACAGCCTGTCAGACGACAGTCCCTTACTCCACCTCCACCCAACACAATTACGTGGGAAGAATACATATCTGCTGAAAATGGAAAGTAAGTGTATCGGTTTCTTTTAAAGACAGGGAGTCTTTAGCTGTCTTTTCCTTCTTTGGCTTATGTTTTTACAGCTCCATAGTATCTGTATTTTTCTTGCCTTGGCCTGTAAAACACACTTTTCACAAGGCTGGCATGAGTAAAAAAGGGGTTGTGTAGCAGGGAGGATATAAATAATTTGACAATATAATCTTGCACTGCAATTAACTGAAAATATAGCAATATTTTGTAAGCTTGTGGACTACTTGATACCTGAAGCCTAAACTTTAAACACTTAAAAGATTAAGCTCTGTGTTTAACACATTTCAGTAAAGCTTTCTACGTACAACAATCCTATTTATGCTTAAGGTAGTGTCAAATTAATTGCTAGCACCAAATAGACCTCAGTTTTGACTTCAGGCAAGATGTAATAAATAGCTTATGACCAAACCCATTATTTACATCCAAAAGTGCACATTTTCTGAAACAATGTGTCAAAACTGCTCAATAGCAGCCATGTTTTGTGTAAAATGCAATCCTCATCTCACACCATAGTTAGCTACTTGTTGCCTCTTATACTTGTTTACTGTAGTTTAGATTATGTAAATTCAGCAGCTGGGTAAAAATTGTTTTTCCTAGGATTAGACTTTCCGTAATTTGATGTTTGAGCACCCAAAAGTGTGCTAGCTGCTTCACAAAAACCAGTAAAGATACAGACCTTGGTCGAAAGAGCTCACAATACATATTCAGATGTTACAAGAAGAGGAGTATGGGTGATATACAGAGCAAGGTTTACAATATGTGATTATTCAATAAGACATGAACATCTTGATTTTTTTTATGTATGAACTGATCTACATATAGAGGTGTGGCAGAAGTAAGTATATAAGGAGGGATGTGAATAATTGCACACAAACTCATCTATTAATATGGGGAGAGAAAATGATTAAATGTTAGATTTTTTTTTTTTTTTTTGCTTATTCCAAACATAAATCATGTGTTGGACAGTACATGAGAGGATATGAATGTCCAGTCTGTATTTCCAATGAATATAAATTAAAGATAGAAAAGGCCTGTTATTTTATATCTGTCCTGGTCCAGTACAAAATTGTGTCCTATGTTGTGTTCTCCAGTGTTTTGTCCATTCTGTTTTTAAATTACTACAGCAAAAGAACTTCCGCTGCTTCTGTTGTGAGTCCATTGTACAGTCTGATGGATCTCATAGCAAGAATCTTATATTCTGTCTAAACTCTTCCTGTCCCAAGTTCATTATGGCATTTATTGTTTATACTCCCATGGACAACCCTAAACACTTTCCCATACCATCTTGGCTGGTTTTCATGTCTTCCCCCATAGTTCTCATTTAGCACAACCTATCCATATTCAGCTGTTTTAATCTTTTTTCCCCCCATAAGTCAGCTCCTTAATCATTTTTGTTGCTTTTCTGTGAATTCCCCAGAACTAATGGTAAGCTAAATTAAGATGCCTTCCAATTCCTTCTCTCTCCTAGGTGCAGCTATTATTTCATAATAATTCTCTTAAACATAAAGTTTTTCACATCTTAACTCTTTTTTAGGTCTGACTTATTTATTTCATAAAAGCAAACGTCCCATTGAGGAGTGTTTTTTAACTGTTTGTTTGTTTGTTTTTGTTTAAAGAGCTCCTCACCTGGGTAGAGAGCTGGTCTGCAAAGAAAGCAAGAAAACATTTAAAGCCACAATAGCCATGAGCCAGGAATTTCCCTTGGGAATTGAATCGTAAGTTAGTTGTCTGTAAACGTTCATATGTGGGGAAATTAAACAGTTACCGTACGTGTACTGTAACTGTTCTTTGAGATGTGGATACAGACATGTATTCCCCTCAGGTGTATGCACATTTATTTTTCTGATTCTTTCCCCCTTAACGTCATTGACTTCTTGTACTGCTTCTTCGACAAGGAAACAGGAATGGTTTATGCTGTCAACAGCAGTTTGACTCATTCCCTCAAACTTTCGCTCAGAAATCTACAGTGGAGTGAGTTAGCTCTTCTAAAACGACAGACATTTGTACAAAGCAATGATCAGTGAATATGGAAAAATGATATTAATGGGATGAAACCCAATCTGTAAATTGCCTTTACCTTTGTCAGATTGGTCCATACTGCCCACACGCCGCCCCACTCTTCTCCTCACTCCCTGCAGCGTCAGGTTTTTTTTTATCAGCTGATATTGAATACAGGTAGTGAGACAATAATGCGTGAAAGCTAAGGATTTAAGCTTTGTGATAGTTTAAAGCTTGGGTTCCTAGTTCTAGGTCTCCATATAAACGAATTCTAACATTAATCTGGAGTCAAGTTTTGAGGTGTTGGGAGAAGGGAAGAATAGTAATTGGCAGCATGATTTTAAGGTCCAATTTCTCATGATTCACCAAGGCTAGAAACAAAAGCTTTCATGCCCACTTTATTACATGCCATATGTTAAGATGTGGATTACTAGAAATTGAACTTTAAAACTGTCACTAAGACGAAGTCAAAGCAGCAATACTCTGTCATCACAGGTCTAGGGGTGTGTGTGTGTGTGTGTGTGTGTGTGTGTGTGTGTGTATATATATATATAGTAGAACTTAGAGCACTAATTTTCAGTGCATTGGTTTAAATTTTCTTGGAACAAAAATTAAAGTGGCAAAAGTGAAGAGCTTCTAATAAAAATGCACTTTCCTTTTCAGATTATTGAATGTTTTAGAAGTAATTGCACCCTTCAAGCACTTTAACAAACTTAGAGAATTTGTTCAGATGAAGCTTCCACCAGGCTTTCCTGTAAAGCTAGGTAAGGTGACTCTTTCAGCTTTTATTAAGGCAGGAGTCTCAAACTCAAATGACCATGAGGGCCACATGAGGACTAGTACATTGGCCTGAGGGCTGCATTACTGATCCCCCGCCGCCCTCGGCCCTGCCCTCACGCCACCCCTTCCATGAGGCCCGCCTCTTCCCACCCCTTCCCTGCCCTCATTCCAACCCCTTCCCCAAAATCCTCACCCCAACTCCGCCCCCTCCCTGCCCCCAGGGGGTACAGGAGAGGTGTGGGGTGTGGCGGGGGCTCAGGGCAGGGAGTTGGGGTGTGGGGTGCAGGAGGGGTGAGGGGTGCAGGGGGGTGCGGCAGGGGTTCAGGGCAGGGGGTCAGGATGCAAGAGGAGTGCGGGCTGCAGCAGGGGGTTCAGGGCAGGGGGTCGGGGTGCAGGAGCCGTGCGGGGTACGGCAGGGGGTCAGGGTGCAGGAGGGGGCGGGCGGGGAGGCGGGGCGGGGGGGCGGGGGGCAGGGGGGGGGGGGGGGGGGGCGGGGGGTGCGGCTGCGGGGGGGGTTCGGGGGGCAGGCTCCCTGCCCTGCCCCCGTGCTGCTCCGGGAAGCGGCTGGAACCTGGGGGAGGAGGGGCACAAGGGTCTGTGTGTTGCTGTTGCTTCAGGCAGCGCCCCCAGCAGTTCCCATTGGCCGGGAACGGGGAACCGGAGCTGCTGGGGGCGCTGCCTGAAGCAACAGCAACACACAGACCCATATGCCCCCCCTTCCCCAGGTTCCGGCCGCTTCCCGGAGTGGCGCGGGGGCAGGGCAGGCAGGCAGGGAGCCTGCCCTGCCCTGCTCTCTCCCCAGTGCACGTTGGGCCAGAGCCGCTCTAGGTAAACGCTGGGGGCGGGGACGGGGGGGGAGGGGCGCAAGGAGCTAGCGGGCTGCGTGTTTGAGACTCCTGTATTAAGGTGATCCTCCATTTCCAAGAAGTGGAGGTGTTTAATTGAAATGACTAAACTTGTGTAATAAACTATTGATTTTGGGTTATATAAAGGAAACTTAATTCTCTGTTACAATGGGCTGCCACAGCCTTTAGAGGAATATAGTCCAGACCTTGGTGAATGGAATAAACACAATCCCATTAGGTTAGTGAAAGACTGAGGAATATTTATAGCTGGGATTAGAAGAGTCAGCAACCAAGAAGTCACTTGCTTTACTAGTCACTAAAGGGCCTGACTGAACAGTGGAAGCTCCAGATTATAAAAAATTACCCTTTCCTTGTGCTGGGGCTCATTCTGAAGTGAAGACTGCACGGTGTGGTGCTCCCAGGGAAACTGCAGATCACTTGAATCAAGAGATGACCTTGGCCTTGAGTAAAGGAATACACTTTTGTTCATGTTAGTCCTGTGAAAATTCTGATTCTAATCAGGACTGTTGCCAGGACCTCTAACCCTACATCAGGGGTAGGAAACCTATGGCACGCGTGCCGAAGGCAGCACACAAGCTGATTTTCAGTGGCACTCACACTGCCCTGGTCCTGGCCCCCGGTCCGGGGGGCTCTGCATTTTAATTTAATTTTAAATGAAGCTTCTTAAACATTTTAAAAACCTTATTTACTTTACATACAACAATAGTTTAGTTATGGAAAGAGACCTAAAAACGTTAAAATGTATGACTGGCACGCGAAACCTTAAATTAGAGTGAATCAATGAAGACTCGGCACACCACTTCTGAAAGGTTGCTGACCCCTGCCCTACATCCTCAATGGCAGATTTTTTTTTCTGTTCGAGGATTGTTCAGAATATTTTCTACATTTACTATTTATTGCACCTCGTGATTACTGTAAATCAACTATGAGAAACTACATGCAGGTTTCCAGTTTCTGTTAACAGATGGATAAAACATATTCGCTAATTTGCGTGGACAGATAACCACAGCAAAACCTTAGGCCATAAAGAAGCAAACCCACCCAGTTCACAAATAGCAGCAGAGATCCAAGAATAAACTGTCTCTTCGGTCTAGGGTTATTTGTTATAATCCAGGGTGGTGGTGGTGGTATATTTGAACGTTTTTTTTCTTTTTAAATGCACCAAATCCTACCTTCTGTTACACATGCACAACCCCACAGTATTCAGTGGGAACTGCTTGTGCAATCTGAAGGCTGAATTTATCCATAGCTTTTAAATACTATTTTGGATTAAAACAAAAACAAACCTAACTGATTTACCCACCTCTAAGACTTTGCCCAAAATTTAAACTGAGACATCTTGATGTTTGTGAAGGACATAAATCCACACTGTGTAGAGGTCAAAGCATAGGGGTTTATTACACACAGCGCTGGCGGAGTGTCACCTGGCTTATTAGGCTCGGAGACACTGTCAATCAATTGATTACAATAAAATATATAGATTTTCCATGGGCGGGGGAAGGTGACGGGGTAGGCAGTTCCACACCCCGGGATAGGTTTTGCAGCAAGACAAGATAGCACAATAGCCAATGGTTAAAAGGTTACACAATGTCTCCGCCCATGGTCTCAAGTTAGCAAATTAACATTTGATTAATACTTTGATAAAATGTTATTAGTATAAAATATATATGTTGAATTCTGATTTGGGGTCCATAGGAATGGAGCAACTCCTTTGATTGTCCGACAGGTACATGTCTAGGGGATAAAGCAAAGAAACAGTGAAAGCATATGGAAATAGAGATTGTCTCCTTTATGTCTTAAGGCAGGGCATTGGTCCCTTGGAAGGGAGGTGGAAGGATGCCATATCATTATAGTGACATGTGCCAATATTTCATAAACTCGAGGTTGGATCTGTGGGAAGACTGTTTTCCCTTCAGAAGAAACACAATAGGAACAGGGATCCTTTGATCAATTTGAAACATTAGATGAAACATAATTATTCAGTTATTGCCTCAACATCTGGCATTTCTACTGACCAAGCATATCTTAGCAAAGGCAATGTTATCTTGTTTATTCTGCTTTTCTCTTAGCTAATCACTATTTGCACGGCTTCTGGTCTCCAGGACAAACTCTGGACTTTTGGGTCTGAGAAAGAGCTGGCAAATCCATATACCAGGCCATTACATAACATGCACATGGATTTTAACCCTTCAGTCCCTCCTCTTGACCCTAGGGTTCCCTAACCCGCCAGGTCAAATATACCAATTTTAATGTACCCAGCCTACTGCGGAGTTGCTGATAAAGCACCAGTACCATCAGGAATGTTAGGATAGACAATCCCCACATAACTTGACAAAATAACACCCAGATCCATCCCCAGGGGACCTTGTCACCTGAGATGGCATCGCCCATAATTATTGCTTTAACCTCCACTGCCTGGTTCCTTGCCTTTGAGTACTTCACATCAGCCTGGTCCACGGTTTCCCCTATCTGAGTGTACCTCAGACGGCCTTCCCCAATATGCCTCTGGGCCTCGGCCACCAACTCCTCGATCTTCGCCTGCAGGGCCTGTAGACCCTCCTCTAGATACTTACTGCCGTAGTGCCATTCCAGATCCCATGTTAGGTTACCCATCATTGGCGGAGTACGGTGGAGCCGCGTCCCGTCAACAGTCAGGGTTGACCTTCGGGGGACCGTCATGCACACGGATGGATGTCTCGAGGGGCAGGGCTTTCCATTTAGCTCGATGGAGTGGTTCTGGGCAGTCACACACCAGTAGGTACCGTTCATCTGGACCAGCTCCGTGTGTGCCAGTTTCTCAGTAATGGCCACTTCGAACCTAGACAGATTCGTTAGAACATTATATGGACATGTACACAGAATTTCCTTATCAGAATGGGTGCAACATTTACTAGGATACAATGCTCTCCCAGCGACCTCAGCGTATGCAACGCCTTCTATTTTAATAACATGACCCCTTCTCCATACTGGCAGGGAGGTCACCATCCTAGCTTGTTGCAAATGAGAGATGCCTAAAGGTACCAGAAGGCTAAAGAGTATACTGTTACCTGTCCAAACTGGTTTTTGGACTTTCATTGATTCTCTGTTTCCCCATGCCCACGGAGGGATACTGGGGAGATAGGGTCCCACCACTGCCATAAGGGCTGGATGGACCCGGCCATCAAGGAGATCGGTTACAATTCCTTGTGTGGTGATAGCCAAAGTTTGTCCTGCTCTCCAACAACTTTCCATCAGTGCCTTTATTTTAGTCCCATTTATTAGCAGGCTGGTTACTTCTTGACCCAGGTATTTTGTTATATCGAATGAGGTGGATACAGAGTTTGACAGATCCTTTAAGCTATTTAGGATCAATCGACTGGCCTTAGTAGTATCCAGTCCTCCCTGGGCATTAGAAATTACAGCGTCAGCCAACCTTGATTCCAGCCGGTCCCTCCTCTCAGCTTGGCGTGCTATGGTATAGGAGTTGCCAACAGAATTACCTGCACCTAACCATCTTACAAGGGTATTTAGTAATCCCCTCTTCTGTCTAGTTAAGCGCTCACCAATTTGGTTTGTTAGGCTAGTAATGTTTCTACTCATTCGAGGCCTGACCTTTGCACATTGTCTGTTCACTTCCTCTAAAGGAATACGCACCTCGACCCTGTAAGTGTGGAATACCACCGAGGTGAGGACCGGTAGGGCTGGTCCTATCATTATCAATCCTGGTTTTGGAACAGGGTTTTGTTCAGGGCATGACACACAATCGGGTGGTTCCACTCTGTCTCTGATAACCCGGTTAATTGTTACCAGTCGTGGACATTCTAATTTGGGCCATTGTTTAACAGATGTATGCCATGCCTTTGGGGTTACCTCCGTTCGTGCTTTAAGTGGTAAGCCCCATCCTGATTCAGCAGGCCCAACCTCCACTGGTACCATGTCAGTATAATTGGCACATAATTGTTCATGAGTGTTTGGTTTCTTTCTCACAAAGTCCCACACAAATTCCATTATCGAGGTCTGTGTGTTTCCTCCCAAGCCATCGTGGCAATATGCCATGTAATTGTGTTCAAATGAGGGATAGCCCAAGACTTTGTAGTCCCCTTCACTAGTAGTATGCAGCTGTCCCCCTTTAAAGGTAA